TCCCTCTGGGTCTTCCCAGTGCAGCAGGCCCGAGCACTTGTCTCATGCACCCAACCTACTATAAGCTCTTAGAGGAAAACATAGGCAGAACACTGGCATAAATCACAGCAATACTTTTTGGATCTATCTCCTAGAATAATGAAAACAAAACAAAAATTTAAAAATTGCACCTCCTTAAATTCAAAGTCTTCTGCACAGCAAAGGAAACCATTCACAAAACGAAAAGACAGCTGACACAATGGGAGAAAACACTTACAAATGAAGTAACCAACAAGGAATCATGACAAAAAACACACAACCCAATCAAAAAACGGGCAGAAGCTCTAAATTGACATTTCCCCAAAGAAGACGTATAGATGGCCAAACACATAAAAAGATGTTCAACATCACTAATTACCAGAGAAATGCAAATCAAAATTATAATGATGTATCACTTCACACTGGTCAGAATGGCCATCATCAAAAAGTCTACAAACAATAAATGCTGGAGAGGGTGTGGAGAAAAGGGAACCGTCCTACACTGCTGGTGGTAATGTAAATTGGTATAGCCACCATGGAGAACAGTATGGAGGTTCCTTAAAACACTAAAACCAGAGCTATCATATGACCCAGCAGTTCCACTCCTATGCATATATCTGGAGACAACTAGAATTCAAAAGGATGCACGCAGCTCAATGTTGACTGCAGCACTATTTACAATAGCCAAGACATGGAAGCCTCTTAAATATCCATTGACAGGGGAATGAATAAAGAAATGGTAGGGCTTCCCTGGTGGCTCAGTGGTAAAGAATCCGCTTGCCAATGCAGGAGACACTGGTTTGATCCCTGATTCGGGAAGAGCCCACGTGCCACAGCTATTTCGCCTGTGCTCCAGGGCCCAGGAGCCGCATCGACTGAAGCTCATGCGCCCTAGAGCCTATGCTCCACAGCAAGAGAAGCCACCACAAGGAGAAACCTGAGCACGGAAGCTAGAGAGCAGCCCCCGCTCAACACAACCAGAGAAAAGCCTGCACAGCCACAAAGACCCAGCACAGCCAAAAATACATAAATAAAAATTATTTTAAAAGGATAATCTTAAAAAAAGTGGTAAATATACACAGTGGAGTATTACTCAACCATGAAAAAGACTGAAATAATGCCATCTGCATGGATTGTGTGGGTGACCTGAAAATCATCATACTAAGTGAACCATGAACTTTCAGATGTTCAAGCTGGTTTTAGAAAAGGCAGAGGAACCAGAAATCAAATTGCCAACATCCGCTGGATCACTGAAAAAGCAAGAGAGTTCCAGAAAAACATCTATTTCTGCTACACTGACTATGCCAAAGCCTTTGACTGTGTGGGTCAAAACAAACTGGAAAATTCTTCAAGAGATGGGAATACTAGACCACCTGACCTGCCTCTTGAGAAACCTGTATGCAGGTCAGGAAGCAACAGTTAGAAATGGACATGGAACAACAGACTGCTTCCAAATAGGAAAAGGAGTACGTCAAGGCTGTATATTGTCACCCTGTTTATTTAACTTATATGCAGAGTACATCAAACGCTGGGCTGGAGGAAGCACAAGCTGGAATCAAGATTGCCAGGAGAAATATCAATAACCTCAGATATGCAGATGACAACACCCTTATGGCAGAAAGTGAAGAAGAACTAAAGGGCCTCTTGATGAAAGTGAAAGAGGAGAGTGAAAAAGTTGGCTTAAAGCTGAATGTTGATTCAGAAAACTAAGATCATGGCATCCAGTCCTATCACTTCATGGCAAATAGATGGGGAAACAGTGGAAACAATGGCTGACTTTATTTTTCTGGCCTCCAAAATCACTGCAGATGATGACTGCAGCCATGAAATTAAAAGATGCTTACTACTTGGAAGGAAAGTTATGACCAACCTAGACAGCATATTAAAAAGCAGAGACATTAGTTTGTCAACAAAGGTCCATCTAGTCAAGGCTATGGTTTTTCCAGTAGTCATGTGTGGATGTGAGAGTTGGACTATAAAGAAAGCTGAGCACCGAAGAATTGATGCTTTTGAACTGTGGTATTGGAGAAGACTCTTGAGAGTCCCTTGAACTGCAAGGAGATCCAACCAGTCCATCCTAAAGGAGATCAGTCCTGAGTGTTGATTGGAAGGACTGATGTTGAAGCTGAAACTCCAATACTTTGGCCACCTGATACGAAGAGCTGACTCATTTGAAAAGACCCTGATGCTGGGCAAGATGGAGGGCAGGAGGAGAAGGGGACGACAGAGGATGAGACGGTTGAATGGCATCACCGACTCGATGGACATGGGTTTGGGTGTACTCTGGGAGTTGGTGATGGACAGGGAGGCCTGGCATGCTGTGGTTTATGGGGTCGCAAAGAATCAGACATGACTGAGTGACTGAACTGAACTGAAGTAAATCAAAGACAAATATCATATGACATTATTCATATGTGGAATCTAATTTTTTTAAGGTGCCATGACTCCTTTTATTTAAAACCATCTATTTATTTGGCTGTGTCAGGTCTTAGTAGCAGCATGCGGGCTCTTCATTGGGTCACGGGCCACATGTGGGATCTCAGTTCCCGCACAAGGGATGGAACTTGAATCCCCCGCATTGAAAGGCAGATTCTTAACCACTGAACCACCGGGGGTGGTTTTAAAAAAATGATACAAATGAACTTATTTACAAAACAGAAACAGACTTACTGATATCAAAAACCAACTTATAGGGACTTCCTGGTGGTGCAGTGGATAGGAATCCACCTGCCAACGCAGGGGATGCGGGTTCTATCCCTGATCCAGGAAGACTCCACATTCCTTGGGGCCAGCAAGCCAGTGCACCACAACTCCAGAGCCCTGTGCTCCTCAAGAAGAGCAGTCACTGCAGTGAGAAGCCCACACTCTGCAAGGAACTGTGGCCCCCACCTTCAGAAACTAGAGAAAGCCCTCACAAAACAACAAAGACCCAGCGCGGCCAAAAATGAAGTAATAAATAAAGAAAATTATTTTTTAGAAAAACAAACTTATGGTTACCAAAGGGAAAATGTTGTGATGGGGGAGGCCATGGATTAAGGTACACACACTATATATAGAAGGAGGGCATGGCAACCCATTCAAGTATTCTTGAGGGGAAAGTACCATGGACAGAGAAGCCTGGTGAGCTTCGGACAGTGGGGTTGCAAAAGAGTTGGACACGACTGAACTGACAGAGCACGCAGGCACTACTATATATAAGATAAATAAAAAACAAACAACAAGGACCTACTGAATAGCAAAGCGAACTCTACTAAGTATTCTGATAACCTATGTGAGGAAGAGACTTTGGAAAAGAATGAATATACATATAACTGAATGACTTTGCTGGACACCTGGAACTAACACAACACTGTAAGTAAACTATATCCCCCAAAGCCAAAAATCTATACTCCAGTAAAATGTTTTTAAAAAATTTTTCTTTAAAAGAGAAGTCAAACAGTATCTATTTAATAATATCTATCTGTTAATGCGGTGAGGATTAAATGAAGCAATGCATATGAATATACGCTGGTATACAATGACAAATATTGAATAATTTATTCTTATTTTGCCAAGTACTCAGTAGTTGGAAGAGCTTCCCTGGTGGCTCAGATGGTAAAGAATCTGCCTGCAATGCAGGAGACAGGGGATCGATACCTGGATCAGGAAGATCCCCTGGAGAAGGGAATGTCAGGCAACCCAACTCCAGCATTCCTGACTGGAGGATTCCATGGACAGACAAACCTCGAGGGGTACAGTCAAAGGGATTGCAGAATCAGTGACTACAGACAACTGTTGTTGTCATTTGCCTCCGCACCACCAGGGGAGCTGCCGCCCTCAGGCTAAGCAGGCTCCGGGGTCAGGGTGGTGGAAGTTCGTCTAGCCGCGGTCACCGCCATCTTAGAACACAGGCCTTCCACACCCACCGGGTTTGGCTGCTCCCTACAGGTCTTATAAGCAGACCGCTCGTCAAAATACCCAGGCCCTTACCTCCTTAGGCACTCCCTTCAGTAAGCCGTGTTCTCGAGGGCGTTTGAATCTCCTGGGAAACGCTAAAATCGGCGTCTTCCGGGAGCTGTCCTCGCCCCGTGACCTCAGACGTGCACTTCCGGGACAAGAGCGTGACCCGTCGCCCCGCCCTCTTCCACCCTCTCTTTCCAGTGGCGGAGGCTGGAGAAGACGCGCAGGTAGGATCACTGGGCAAGGAAAATCGGCTGGCATCCTGCGGCACGGGAGCTCATCGGGGCCGAGGGCTTGGGGCTGAGGTCTTTCTGCGGAAGACAAACCTAGTGCAGGGCGCGAGGAGCACGGCGGGCTGACCCAGACTCTGTTTCGCGCCCTGTCTCGGGAGGCGGCGGTCTTGGTTTAGGAAAAAGCCTGTTAAGTGTGGGTGAGTTCGGATCTAGTCTCGAAGGCGTAGGCCCGGCGCCACGACCACAACTACCTTAACCAGCAACACACCGTCGTTGGGAAGGATCGGGTAATAAGTTGGTCTGATGTGAGCGCCCGCCTTAACCGGCTTTTTTCCTGGGCAGTCTCAGGCCGGGCCTCTGATCTCTTAAGTTTTCGAATCTGAAAAGTAGAAATAATCGTCTCATGAATCCCTTGGGGATGTAGTGAGGATTCGAGAAGGGAATGCAGAAGAAACGGCCTTGCGTTAGGTGCTTCCAAAATCCGAGTGACTGCTAAGTCGGGCACATTGCAGTTTCTGTGCAGGTCTCTCAGAGCCAGACACTGAGGGTAGGGATTGCACATCGGTGTTTGCTGAACACCTATCACGTGCCTGTTTACCCTGAAGCCAGAGATGAGGTGCACTCTAGTCTTGCCAGGGTGGGTTGGGAGTCACCTGGGAACCTTGATTTCTGCTTCTGGCCACCCAGAGCGGGAGAGCCAGAGCTCTTCAGTGTCCTGCTCACCTTTCTCAGGGAGGAAATATTCCTAGAGTTGTAAACATTTGGGGTTTTTGTCGTTAACGTTGGAATTTTTTTTCTTCTCGTTAAGAAATGGCACCTCGCAAGGGGAAGGAAAAGAAGGAAGAACAGGTCATCAGCCTCGGCCCTCAGGTGGCTGAAGGAGAAAATGTATTTGGTGTGTGCCACATCTTTGCATCCTTCAACGACACTTTTGTGCACGTCACCGATCTTTCTGGCAAGTGAGTTACCCCTGTGGAGAGGCACAGGACCCAGTTAGCAAGGGCTGGGGTTAGAAATGACCGGGGAGCTGAGTAGCACTTTAAGGGGATCTCTGGAAATAATTTTTATTAAAGATGTTCAGATAAGGATATGTGCTTGGTTGCTTAGTGTACAGATACTGTAATCTAGGTGCTGGAGTTCTAAGAGAAGGAGGTACATTTTTTGCCTTTACAGCCTGGGGGCCTCTTATGTAAAATGAGGAGAAATTACTCCTACTACGGGATTAATAAAATTAAAGGTAAGAGTAAAGTGTTGATGCATTGTTAATCTGGGATCTGTGAACACCATCACTGCAGAGCCTAGGGAAGTCTTGTGGGATCAGGATGCTTGTTCAGATTGACCTTCATCCTCTGCCCTTCCTGGGCAGAAGTGCTCTTTATCTTTAGGATGTGATATGCACTCTGAATCCTTGATGGGTAAGAAAGAAAGGATCCTGTGTTTTTGTTCCCAGGGAAACCATCTGCCGTGTAACTGGTGGGATGAAGGTGAAGGCTGACCGAGATGAGTCCTCTCCATATGCTGCCATGTTGGCTGCCCAGGATGTAGCCCAGAGATGCAAGGAGCTGGGCATCACTGCCCTCCACATCAAACTCCGGGCCACAGGAGGAAATAGGTAAGGCTGGGAGGATAGTGAGGTCACTGAGCTTGGGCAAGGCATCATGGGTACCTATGTAATTAATATGGGCATACCTCAGAGATACTGTGGGTTTGGTTCCAGACCACTGCAATAAAAACAGTATCTCAGTAAAAATGAGCAAGTGTTTTCTCAGTGTGTATAAAAGTTATGTTTACACTACACTGTAGCCTATTGTGTGTGCAGTAGCATCCTGTCTTTTTAAAAAAAATGCAGCATACCTTAAAAATACTTTATTGCTTTAAAAAAAAAATGTAACCATCTGACAGTGAAGGGACTTTTTAAAAGGCATGATTTGTGAAGCACAGTTAAATGAGTTGTGCCTGTAATTGGTTTCTGCATGCACCCCTGCCCCAACTTACTGTGTTAATTGAGCATATACAGTATGTGAAGTGCTATATTCTAAGTACTAGAAGAGAGTGATGGGGGAAAGCAGGTATTGTTTCCATCCTCTGTGGCTCTTAGGCTGGCAGAGTCGGGCTTTAAACAATTTAGAGCAGGGGAGCGTATGGTTCGTTTTTGCAGCAAATATTGGGAAGCAGAAATGTGTCAGGGCTGGGTTGATAATAAAGTTTAAATGAAGATCTAATGTTGTGATATTAGGAATTGGTCCAGTGAAGGAAGGACAGAGGAGAGTATTACAGCCAGGGACAACTGGAAGGAAAAGGTCTTGGAGTAGAAGTGAACTTGGCACATATCTGGGCATGAAAACTTTTTAATAGTAATGATTTGAGGTTGAGGTTGGTTGGTTTGTTAAAGATGGCTGCTGTGTTGGGCAGAGACCAGATAGGAAGTTGTTAAGTGATCCATTGTTCTTGGGAGGGTGGGAAAGGACAGATCACCAAAAAGACTTAGAATCACAGCATGTGACGAAAGGGGGTACTTCATGTTGATGTTTAAAAGAGGGCGCTTCCTTAAACAGGCTGCAGGCAGAGCAGAATACAAACTATGGCCCATGGTGTGGGGGAGGTATGCAACAGATAATGACTTGGCCAAAGGCTTTTCTTAATTTCCATATTTGTTTTTTAGGACCAAGACTCCTGGACCAGGGGCCCAGTCAGCGCTCAGAGCCCTTGCCCGCTCAGGGATGAAGATTGGGCGGATTGGTGAGTACCCCTCTTTGGCTGATGCTTGGTTTTCTTTCAGGTGTGACCCCAGAAAACATGTGGTCTGTATAGTGGATACAGGCCCTGGTCTGCCAACTTTTGGCAGTTAGATTTGTTAATGGGGTGTGCAGGAGGTACTGAGTGACATAAACTCTCTACCTGAACACTCATGTCACCTTGACCTGAATGTCTTGCACTGGAACAGCACCGTCTCGTTTCTGAATTTCTGTGCCTGACGGTGGCTGGTGGAACTAATGGGAGATGAATTGTCCTTTCTAGTGTTTTCAAGAGACTTGTATTCGATATTTTGGAGGGCTGACTATTGCATATTAGTAGAGCGGGCCAGTCATTGTGACAAAAATATATGGAGGGGGCAGTGGCTCCCATGGTTAAGAATCAACAGCAGTTCTCTATACTTGCATAGAGTTTATACCCTCATGTCTGTGATCTGACCATTTATAGCTCTTAGGAAGGAGATGTTGGCCCTTCCCTGCTGCTTCTGTGGCAGCGTGTACTGATCCCTTGACCTGATGGTCCATCTCTCTCTTGAGATTTTTTTCAAAACATTTGCAGTCGTCTTTTACCTATTAAAAAGGAGCTATTCTTCAGTTTGAGAGGATTTTTCCACTAGAGTCAGTGGGCTAGGTATCAGAAACCTGAACTTGTCACCTGCCTCTGACATCCTATTCAAGTTGCCTACTCTGAGCCTCAGTTTCCCCTTCACGGACGTTGAATTCAAACTACATGAGAAGTTTTGAGGAGGCAGCTCCACACCCATCAGCTACATACTGAAGACTTACTTGGGAAGCAATAGGATCCACTGCTGACCTGTTTGACCATTGGCCTCGGGCGGCCTGCGCCCCTTCCCATCCAGCTCCAGACAGTGATGTTTTCTCTTCCTCCCTACAGAGGATGTCACCCCCATTCCCTCCGACAGCACCCGCAGGAAGGGGGGTCGCCGTGGTCGCCGTCTGTGAACAAGACTCCTCAAATTATTGCTTTCTGTTAATAAATTGCTTTGATGGAAGCTGTTTTTGACTCCAGTCGTCTCTCCTTTATGTAGGGGCCACTGCTCAGGGGTACTTGGTTCCTTCTTCTGTCTATTTAACCAGGGTATGGGGCTGTCTTGAGGTCATGGGTGCATTGATAAGCCAGCAGCCATTTAATAGATAGTCTATAACCTGTCAAAGAGGAACTCGAGGTGTTGATCCAGTCCCTGCCCTGGGACAGGGTGAGCCTGTGTTCTGTGAACTGGTTTCCTGAGAGGAGGAGCCGAAGGAGAGGTGAGATTCTGGTGCTCTGGTTGGGTCTTCTCGACACTGCTGGTTGTGGCATTAGTTGTCTCAGTCATCTAAAGAGACCAAGGCCTTGGAGACCTTGTTTTGAAAGTGGAGATGTTGATTCCAAAAATGGACCATTTCTTAAAGAGCGGGAGTGGAGTGGAAACTGTTGAGCCCAGTGTAGCCTGAGCAGAAGAGCCTTCCAGACAGCCATATATAAACACGTGTGGGTGGGTACTCGCCCCCCACACCTTCTGTGCAAAAAAGGGAGTGCACTGTCTTGTATCTTACTTTTTCTCACTTGGCAGATCTAGGAGGTTGTTCCACATCAGTACATAAAGTACATAGATTCAATCACCCACGAATACACATCAAGCCCTATTTTCATCAGTGATGAAAAAGTTTCCGCTTTCTGGAAGCCTGCGTCCAACTCCAAGGACCCAGTGGCACCAGATGGTACTGAGTGTTCTGCAGAGGATTAGCCCAGGGCCCTGTGATGCTGACTTCTACTTCAGGGGAAGACAATGACATGATGCTTTCAGGGTTCATCCCAGCAGACATGTTTCAGTACTTCATTCCTTTTTATTGCTGTTTAGCAGCCATTTCCCAGGTATACATCTATTCACAACTCCCATCCCACCTGGAAGAGCCCTGGAGTGGTGAGTCTTGCCATGGCACCTACCAACTTACCATGTGTGATGGATTAGCCATAAATTGGTCTGTTTCATCCTCTTTAAAATGAGTAAATGAGTCCATGCTGATAACAGATGATTTTAAGATGAAGGCATAAATCTTATAAAAACTAAAAATAGTTGCTCCCCCTTCCAGTAAGTGAACTTACCTGTGGGCTAGGCTTAGTGACTCACTTTCCAAAGAATAGAACATGGAAGATGTTAACTTTGGAGAGATGAATTATTAAGGTTGAACTGGCTGATTGCTAAACACTTGGATAAATCATGTTTCTAGTACTCAGACTTGACAAGATGATGAATACTTCAACTGAATTTTCAATTTCTGAAAACCCATAATCTAGTTAGAGGGCATTCTACAACGTATCAACATTTAAATTCAAAAGTTAAACAAGGGCTCAAGACCAGAGGAGCTGAAGGAGATGGAATAACAAGGCATTGAATCCTGGACCTGAAAGGGCATTAGTGTAAAAACTAACACAATATTAACCTGGGGACTTCCCTTGTGGTCCAGTAGTTAAGAATCAGCCTTCTGATGCAGGGGAGGCAGGTTTGATCCTGGTTCAGGGAACTAAGATCCTGCATGCTGCAGGGCAACAAGCCCCATGTGCTCTAGAGCCCATGCTCTGCAACAGGAAGGCCAAACACCTTGCAATGAAGAGCCTGCACACCACAGTGAAGGCTAGTGCAGCCAAAAAAAATCTGAATCTGGAGTCCAATCAGTAGTAATGTGCCTGTGCTCCCTAGTTTTGACAAGTGAATTGTTAAAAATGTAAGATACTAACGTTCGAGGAAACCAAATGAGTGATATACAGAAATGTCATATCTTGCAACTTTTTGGTAAATCTAAAAGCATTCCCAAATAAACATTGCAGGGGTGGGGGGAAATAAGCATGCTTTTCCACTGTCATTCTGGTTTCGAAGGCAGAACATGGTACACAGACCTTCAAGAGGCAGGTATTCCAGGGTGGAAATCCCAGTTCCCCAGATTTGGACTCAACCTTGGGGGACTTCCCTGGTGGCTCAGATGGTAAAGTGTCTGCCTACAATGTGGGAAACCCGGGTTCAATCCATGGGTCAGGAAGATCTCCTGGAGAAGGAAATGGAAACCCACTTCAATATTCTTGCCTGGAAAATCCCATGGACGGAGAAGCCTGGTAGGCTACAGTCCATGGGGTCACAAAGAGTTGGACACGACTGAGTGACTTCACTCAGGCAAATTACTTAACCTCTCAACCTTTTAGTGAAAATTCCTGTGATAATGGTAGCCTCATAGTGCATCACAAGAAAGATTAAAGCGTTTAATCTGGCACTGAAGAAACTGCTCCTATTCTTAATGCCTGTTCAGTTCTGCCAAGCATCATGAATGACAGCTGGCTGGAATCCTGGTGGGAAGATGCTGGCGCTCACTGAAGTGTTCTTTTTATTTCCTGTGATGGGACTTTGCAGATTGTCCTGCTGTTTCCTGGTAACCAGGGATTTTTGAAAGCAGTTCATTTCTAGGTTTTGTTTGCAAGTTTCAAAGAGCTAGTTGGTGCAGTCCAGGTTGGAATGTAAGTGGCCTATTGGCCACTGAGGTGGACAGGGCAGGACTTGGCCTGTTGCCCTCCTGAGACTGCAGACTATGGAAGCCCAGCCACTGGCTGTAAGTGCAGCCTCAGTCAGGGCCATAGAGATGGTCCCTACTTCTCATTCCTTTCTCTTACCTGAGCTCGTACAACAATCTTCTCCTAACAGGTCTTCCTGTCTTCCCTCTGTTCTTTGTTTAGTCGTAAGTCAAGCAGAGACATTACTTTGTCAACAAAGGTCCATCTAGTCAAGGCTATGGTTTTTCTAGTAGTCATGTGTGGATGTGAGAGTTGGACTATAAAGAAAGCTGAGCACTGAAGAATTGAAGCTTTTGAACTGTGGTGTTGGAGAAGACTCTTGAGCGTCCCTTGAACTGCAAGGAGATCCAACCAGTCCATCCTAAAGGAGATCAGTCCTGAGTGTTGATTGGAAGGACTGATGTTGAAGCTGAAACTCCAATACTTTGGCCACCTGATGGGAAGAGCTGACTCATTTGAAAAGACCCTGATGCTGGGCAAGATTGAGGGCAGGAGGAGAAGGGGACAACAGAGGATGAGATGGTTGGATGGCATCACCAACTCAATGGACAGGAGTTTGAGTAAACTCTGGGAGTTGGTGAGGGACAGGGAGGCCTGGCGTGCTGCGGTTCATGGGGTCACAAAGAGTTGGACACAACTGAGCAACTGAGCTGAAGTGAAGTCATGACCAACTCTTTGCGACTCCATAGACCAGGGTCTGCCAGGCTCCTCTGTCCATGGGATTTCCCAGGCAGGAATACTGGAGTGGGCTGCCATTTCTTTCTCCAGGGGCTCTTCTCGACCCAGGGATCAAACCCACATCTCCTGCATTGGCAGACGGATTCCTTACCACTGAGCCACCAGGGAAGCCCTGTCTTCCCTCTGGCCCATGCCTATGCCTAGGCCACACTACAGCTGTGTGATCTAAAATTAATTGGATCCTGTCACACATACCCCTGCTATTTTATCCATGCCTCACTCATCTTCAGTCTAGAATTCAGTCTCCATGAATCTCCAGTATTTTGTCTAACTCTGCCATATCCTTCACCCTGTCTCCCCAAAGCAAACCTAGTTCCTTTCACTTTGCCAATTCTCCATGCCTTCAGTCTGACTCCTTCAGTATCTCCTCTCCCCACCTTGGCCTCACTACCTACCACTCACCTGTTGGAATCAGTTTTTCATCACTCTCTCAAAGTTATCTTATGGGATGTCCCTCAAGGTGCTTCTCCACTCAGTTCCCCCGTCACTCCCCTCATGGTACCACTAGTCTCCCTCTATCCTAAAAGCATCTTTCCCTGCTAATCTGCTAGCTCTGAGAGGGCAGAGAGTGTCTTGTACAGTGTCTGCCAGCCCACCTTCCAGTCTGCAAAAGTAGCCTCTAAGACTTGTTTGATGAATCATTGAAAGAATTGCCTTCACCTTCTGTAGTTTAGTCAGTTGAAGGACTTTTTCTAATAGATTCTAGATACATTGAAACAAACATGCATTCTTGGGTTCTAAGAAAGTGAAGGAAATTCCCAGGAGCATTGACGAAATGGGAAAGAAAATGACACCAAGATAAAATGCTTTAGGGATCTGAGAGCTATAGGAAAGAAAGCCGGGGTAACCTTCAGGGCAAATACTGGAGTTAGTGCCAGGAGGTTAAGTAAGCTTAATCCCCTAAGGGCTTTGCTCTCAGCCCCAACCACAGCCTGGAGGTGAGGGAACTGAACTTGACTTTCATATTAACCTAGAAACCTTCAGACTTCAGAGCTAATGTGGTCACAGGTGGGAGTGTCTCTGGGCTCTTTGTAGAAGAGCAAGTCTCTTTGGAGAAAGTGAAAGTGTTAGTTACTGTCCTGTCGGACTCTTGTGGCGCCACCCGCCAGTCTCCTCTCTCATTGGGATTCACCAGGCAAGATACTGGAGTGGGTTGCCATTCCCTTCTCCAGGGCAATTTCCTGACCCAGGGATCGAACCCAGGTCTCCCACATGGCAGGCATATTTACTGTCTGAGCCACCAGGGAAGCCACTTAAATTGAGGTCTTGACAGTTGTTTTTTCTTCCAGTTAACTCCATTGACCTGGGTGATGGTGTCATGGCTCCCTTTTGCCCAGGAGAATACTATCAAGGCAATTCTCAGTCTCTTAATGTAAGATCTGGGAAACCTTTCACAAAACATGGCCTCAGGGGGAGCACTGCTGACCTTAAGTGGTCCAAAGAGAAGATGTATAAGGGACTTCAAATAAGTTAAGTTCTGTCTTGTTGCATGTAGTCCTAAGGTGGTAGAACTTGGCCAGTGGGTGGGTAGGAGTTGTAGAGAGGTTTAAGCATCAGATAAAGGAGCGTTTTCTAAAAGAGAGCCACTAAGAAGAAATAAAACTGCTTCCTAATTATTGGAGGCATACAAGCATAAGCCAGGTCCCCAAAGGCTAGCTAATCA